TTTTTTTTTTTTTTTCACATGAATATATCTTGATACTAACGCGAAATTTTAATTTTAAGGTTCCGTTATGCAAAAATGAGAAACTATAACAATAAAATACGCTCTAATCTAATTTTAAAAGTAGAGCTTTAAATTATTCTCAAATAAATATAATAATTAATCCACTTTGAGCAAGAAGCTTGACAAGATTAAAGATGATAACTGTTAGAATATCACTTGTGATTTGTCCCAAATCGTTCATACATGAAAATAGATCCACATCATAAGTTTAATGTGATACTCCTCCTTTCACCAATTGTTTTTGGGATGGAATCTCATTTGGCTTCATCTGGACTTTTACCGCTTATGGTGCGCTTCATGGGAGTGGGGACCGCACCTGTTTTCGTTTTCTCCCCGTTTCTTACATGGTATCAGCGCCGATTCTATTGGGACCGTGCGATTCCCCTCGTTTCTTTCATAGTATCAGAGCCGCTTCTATTGAGACCGTGCGATGACGTACCTGTTTTCCCGGGAAAAATTCAAAATTAGTCCCACAGGTATAGGGGGGTGACATTTTTTATCCCAACGGAATCCAAAAAATATTAATAGTCCCGCAGCTTTTAAAAAATAATCAAAAGTAGGACTTTTTTCAATTTTTCGGCCCGGAATGCCAGGTGGCCACATTCATCTGACGTGGCTGAGTACAATGGCAAGGAAAAAAAATCAAAACTAGTCCCACAGGTTTTGGGAGGTGACATTTTTGGTCCCAAAAGAATCCATAAAATCTTAAATAGTCCCGCCACGTGTGTGCCACGTGGCATTCCGGGCCGGAAAATTGAAAAAAGTCCTACTTTTGATTATTTTTCAAAAGCTGCGGGACTATTAATATTTTTTGAATTCTGTTGGGACAAAAAATGTCACCCCCCTATACATGTGGGACTAGTTTTGAAATTTTCCCCTGTTTTCCCCCACTTACCCGTTTATGGGAGCCTGCTTATAGTAGGCTTGGAGCACCCAACTCCGTATATGGTTTGAGCTTTCTTATTAATGACTCACAAGTGAGGGGGCGTGTTAGAATATAATTTGTGAGTTGCCCCACATCGTTTATATATGGAAAATAGACCCACCTTATAAGTTTAATGGGCTACTCCTCATTCCACTAATTGGTTTTGGGATGTAACCCCACTTAGACAACATATGGGTTTTCCCGACTTATGCTGCACACATGTTAGTGGGACTGTACCCGTTTTCTATCAATTATCATTCATTCAATCACAAATTTACATATTCTCTCATCCACATCATGCATGCGTCTTCTTTCCACTCAACAACTCTCCATTACACACACCCGTTAAGTTATTTTTACATGAAAACATATAAACCTCATTATCCACTCATTCAATATTATTTTTATATTCTATTTTTGATAAAAATAAATGTATTTTTTAATTAGAACTTAATTTTAAATGGTGAAAATGGAAATAACATTATTTGATAAAAAAAAGAAACTTAAACTAAAACTACAAATGAAAAATAGTAGAACAGAAAAAAAAAAAATAGTTTGTAGCAAAATGGGTTCAAATATGTAAATTATTTATAGGCATAAAATAATGAGAGTTTGATGTAGATAAAATTTAAATTTACCAATATTAAAAATTGTAATATAGAAATAAATCAATATAGAAAAATATAATATAAATAAATAATTGAAAAATGAAGTGTTGCAGCTGAACATTCAGCTGCTTGAACAACAATTAAGGAGCCCACTTTTAATGGATGCTGTGCATCCATATTAATGGCCCCTTGCCATTTAAGCGGGCGTTTGTAACACCCAGTGCGAATGTCTTTATTCGATTGATCGTTTACATTTTGAATAAAGTTATAGGAGATGAGTATCCGAATTGATCGTTGGCCGGTTCGCTAGCAGCCAGTTCTTTCCGGTGAACGAGACCAATCAACAGATCAGTTCCCAATCAGACCGACAGTTCGATCTGATTTTAAATACTTAAATATCATACTTTCAAATATAATATAATAAAAGTATGTTATGCATAATTATTTTTAAGAAATTATACGATGCATACGGTTTAACACCACTATTTTTTATTTCAAATAATATTACTCACAAGCTAGGGTCCTCGTGGGATAATTATGATTAGATATCGCGATCTTGTCATTTCAACTATATATAATGACCAGTATTTGACTAACAGCTTTATATTATTACTCTAACAAACAATGCAATTTGCACCACAATCCACAATAAACAAATTGTATTATTAAAGTTGTTCCTATTACACTACCCATCCCCTGTGTATAATTCACAAATGTGTTAGACCTTAGGTGCCAGACTCGCATGTTTCGAAATCCTATGTGTTAAAATTCTTTGCTTTGTTATCAGACTTTGATAAATTTTAATTAAATTCCAATCCAAAACTAATTAGGTTCGGATTACCATAAATATGTTGATTTTTATTTATGATCATTGTAGATGTATTGATTCATATTTTAACATCATTTCCTATTACAACTATTGAATTGTAAATGTACTTAAAAAGTTAATAACTTTTGTAATTCTTATCGGTTTTACATATATAATGTATCAAACTGATCATTTTTTGATGAGTTTCGATTTGACATCCATATTGTATATATGAAAAATAAATAAACTATATATATCTTTATAATAATATTAAAATATTTATCAAAACTAATTAAAAAATAAAATTATTTATTATTTAAGATATTCATGTTTAATATAGTTATATGTTGTAAGTTAAAAAAATTATTATAATATAACATATGTAAGTCGCACAAGTAACAAGTGTCATACTAAAATATAATATATATTTGAAAAAGGGACCAGGAATCATGGTAAATCATTGCAAATTGTACTATTTTGGTGGGTTTGACATCCACACCTAAAGTAAAGTGCGTTACTATTTTTGTACTCAGATCAGATCTACTATCAACACCATAAATATTTGAAACTGAGGACAGATTTTCATAACTCACAAGTTCTTATTTGAATAAGTTTGACCACGATTAATTAGGCGGGTTTATATTAAAATAATATCACATTTTTATTATGATATTTTTTTAAGGTGTATATATATATATATCACTTTGATATGGTCCGAGATCGGTGGATCCGGTCTTACGGAAGGTTCTTCCCGGTTATGGCGTTGGCTCACTTGATTTGGTCCGGTCCGAGCTTGAGTGTTCCCCGGTACCTGAAAGCGCGCCGGAATTTCTCCGGCGCAAGCCCTCCGACGCCCAAGTTAGGATCTCGGATTTAGAGAGAGAATTGTGTGTAATAAATGTTGTGGTAAAACATTAATGAAGACTTACCTTTCTCTAGTGAATTAACCCTTTATATAGTGTCTGAGTTGTACGGCTCCGCGTACCTAAAATCTTGCTAGTAAGGGTCGAACCGGGATTGATGTTCGACCCCTTACCTGTGGTGTTGACGTGCGACCTTGGCTATGAGAATTAGACTATGGCCAATGTTCGACCCTCGCCGTACGGGCTCCATAGGTCGATCGCTAGGGATTGATGCCTTGCGGGTCGACCACTCCTTGGTATGGCTATGCGGGTCGACCGTTGGGTGTTAGGGGCGAGTGTGTTAGGGTCGAGGGTGTTAGGGGTGAGGGTGTTGGGCGAGGGTGTTAGGGGTGAGGGTGTTAGGGTCGAGGGTATTTGGGGCGAGGGTGTTAGGGGCGAGGGTGTTAGGGTGGAGAGTGTTAGGGCGAGGGTGTTAGGGGCGAGGGTGTTGGGCGAGGGTGTTAGGGCGAGGGTGTTAGGGGCGAGGGTGTTGGGCGAGGGTGTTAGGGGCGAGGGTGTTAGGGTCGAGGGTATTAGGGGCGAGGGTGTTAGGGTCGAGGGTCGAGTCCCTTTCGGTCTCACCCTCTTGGTCGAGGCCTTCCGGTCGAGAGTCGGCCGAGACGCGTTAGGTTGAGTCGCGTTAGGCC